GTCGGTTAAGCCTCCTGACTTTGGCTCGGGTCATGATCTCATGGTTCGTGAGTTTGAGTCCTGTGTTGGGCTCTCTGCCATCAGCACGGAGCCTGCTTCAGATCCTCTGTCCACCCTCCTCTGGCCCTACCCTACGCACTCTTGCTCTCTCTCAAAAATAAATAAACATAAACCTAAACAAAAAAACTTCAAAGTTTAGGGGCACCTGAGTGGCTCAGTCGGTTAAGCGTCCAACTTCAGCTCAGGTCATGATCTCGCAGTTTGTGAGTTTGAGCCCCGTGTCAGGCGCTGTGCTGACAGCTCAGAGCCTGGAGCCTGCTTTAGGTTCTGTTTCTCTTTCTATGCCCCCCCCCCTTGCTCACGCTCTGTCTCTCTGTCTCTCACAAAAATAATCATTAAAAAATTTAAAAAAAAAACTTCAAAGTTTAAAAATAAATAGTTTATTCTTGTAAATCAAACAACAATTTGCCCCTTTAAGGCAAAGGGGAAAACCATCTATCAACAGAGAGTGCTACGTAGGAGGTCCAGCAATGCCAGGGAATGGTCTTCAACCATTTAAAAGAATGAGATCTGAAAAGATGGCCCAAAGAATGGATGAAAATATTTGTAAATCATTAATCTGATACAGGTCTAGCAACCAGAATACATATGAACTCTTACAACTCAATAACAAAAAGACAAACAATGAAATTTGAAAATGGACAAAGAACCAGACTAGACATCCCTCCAAACAAACAAACGGCCAATTAGCACATGAAAAGATGCTCAACCTCATTTGTCTTTGGAGAAATGCAAATCAAGACCACAAGATGCAACTTCACACCGACCAATGAGTAAGAGATGGTGATAATTAAAAAATAAAACAAAACACAATGGAAAATAACAAGTGTTGGCAAGGACGCAGAGACACCGGAACTCTAGGCCATTGCTGGTGGGCACGAAATATGGTACGGCCTCTGTGCAAAGTATGAGCTCCTGAGAAAGTTACACATAGAGCAACCATTTAACCCAGCAGCTCCACTCCTGTATGTATGTATGTATCAAAGAGAAATAAAAACATACATCTACGCAAAAACCTATACACAAATGTCGACAGCAGCCCTATTCACAATAGCCAAAACACAGAAACAATCCAAATGTCTGTCAATTGGCGAATAAACATAATGTGGAATATCTATAAAGGAAATTATTACTCAGCCATAAAAATGAATGTACTTCTAAGACACGCTACGACACGGATGAACCTCGAAGACATGATGCTAAGTGAAAGAAGCCAGACATAAAAGACCACATATTGCATGATTCTAGTTGTGTCTGAAATATTCTGAGTAGGCAAATTCCTAGGGATAGAATGCAAAATAGTGTTTAGTAAAGACCGGGGGTAGGGGAAGATGGGGAGTGACGGCTTTCGATGGATACTGAGTTTCCTTTTGGGGTGATGAAAATGTTCTGAAACTAGATAATGCTGATCGTTGCATCGGCATTGTGAGAGTCCTCGATGATACCGAATCGTACACTTTAGATAAAATGGTATATATTTTATGTTTACTTTAACACACATTCTTCAAAAAAAAGCAGATATAAAAAAATAGAACATAAAAGGATTTCCAAGGCATCTGTGAGATGAAAAAGCAAGTTACTGAATCCTGTTTGTATTAAAACAAACAAAATCTAAGCTCTATGTGCCTTTACAAATGAATGTGCATATGAATGTATATATGTATATACACACACAAGTACATGTTTTCAAGTAACCTTGGAAAAAACAGAGCAAGAGGCAAAGGTTTCTGTGAGGTATGGAGGGTAGGTATACCACAAGTTAAAGTTTCTAAACATTCATGCCTGAAGTAATCATTATGGAAACTTCATCAAAACAGGCATATCAATTTTAGTAACTCCATTAAGTTTAATGGAGTTAAATAAAATGCATGTGCATAATGGAGTTATATAAAATGTATGTGCCAAATGATGCTAATTGTTAACTCTAGTAGGTCAATAAAAATGACTCACCATTGTTTCTGCAGAGTCCAAGATCAGCAAGGGTTAAATGTAAGTCAACTCATTTCAAGCTTCTAAAGTCAAAAGTAACTAGAGTTTTGGCATCCTTTCTCAAAAAAGGGGAACACACTGTAATCCTTTGACAAGCTTAAAGGGCTTAAAGGACATAAAAGTTACAATTTCATTTGACTTGACTAAAACAGTAAACAAAAGTGGTTAAATGTGTTCCAGGTTAAGAGTTCCTGAAGTCTAGAATAAATCATGGACCCCAATTTCCCTCAATTCACTACAGTTCATGTACTCAGTGAGTTAGCAAGATACCTATTTAAAAAAATTTTTTCTTTTAATCTTCATTTATTTTTTTTTTTTTAATTTTTATTTATTTTTTTAACGTTTATTTATTTTTGGGACAGAGAGAGACAGAGCATGAACGGGGGAGGGGCAGAGAGAGAGGGAGACACAGACTCAGAAACAGGCTCCAGGCTCTGAGCCAACAGCCCAGAGCCTGATGCGGGGCTTGAACTCACGGACCGCGAGATCGTAACCCGGCTGAAGTCGGACGCTTAACCGACTGCGCCACCCAGGCGCCCCTAATCTTCATTTATTTTTGAGAGAGAGAGGGAGACAAGAGTGCGAGCAGGGGAGGGGCAGAGAGAGAGAGGGAGACACAGAATCTGAAGCAGGCTCCAGGCTCTGAGCTGCCAGCACAGAGTCCGACACGGGGCTCAAACTCACGGACTGTGAGATCATGACCTGAGCTGAAGTTGGAGGCTTAACTCACTGAGCCACCCAGGCGCCCCAGCAAAATACCTATGAACTCCAATTTTTTATCAGATTTATATGTTTGGACATCTAATCAGGAATCAATATACAAGATACATATTTTGTTGATAATATACAAGAGAAAAAATGTCTTCAAATTTATTTAAAAAGAAAGCATTCCACTCTGCTAATGCATGCTGACCTATACATAAAAAATGGAGACACCAATTCCTAGACTGCCAACAGTCTGATTAGGTGAAAACAAAACGCACCTGACACTAGTGTGACTGTGAAGTCCAGGTTTACCATCTGTTTGAAAAGATATCCAAGTAAAATACACAACACTAGTAAATAGTTTAGACCTTTCTGGCCCCAAAGATGTGTTACCACTGTGCTGGGTTTGGCCGGGATTAAAAGCACTATAACCCCGTTTTGTGGTCTCAGGCACAAACCAACCTTAAATGCTCCACACCCTGAAAATTACTTTGAAAGTCTGACTTATTCTTTTTATCTTCCCATGAAAAAAGGAGACTACAAACCAAAGTTTTCTTCCTGCTCTGCCTTTTATGTTCTCTGCCATTATGAAGCTGACAACAATGTAAAGAGACTAAGAATACTCGTCCTTCAAGATTACGGATTCAAGTACTAAAGATTTCTTGACCAAGAACTGTTTTTCTTTACATTCAACTACCATCACAGAGCAAAAAGGAGAAGCAAGAGTCCTTGATTGTTGAAGTCATCCGCTAGAAACAGAAACAAAATTCAACTACATTCACAAGGTAAAAAATTATCTGGGCCTATCAGGTCCATACGGGACAATGAATGCCTGTGGTTTGTGTACTTTTTCTGTATTCTATTTAAAAGGTTTTTTAGGACACCTGGGTGGCTCAGTCGGTCGACTTTGATCTCGTGTCCGTGGGTTCAAGCCCTGAGCCGGACTCTGTGCTGACAGCTCAGAGCCTGGAGCCCGCTTCGGATTGTGTGTCTCCCTCTGTCTCTGCCCCTCCCCTGCTCGTACTCTGTCTCTCTCTTTCTCTCAAAAATAAATAAACATAAAAAGTTTATTTTTTTTAAGTTTTTTTGGAACCTATGAGAGATAAGGCTGAAACCTCAGGCTGAAAACCTGAGATTTTATTTATTTTTTTAAAGATTTTCTTTTTAAGTAATCTCTACACCCAACGTGGGGCTCGAACTCATGACCCTGAGATCAAGAGTTGAATGCTCTTCTGACTGAGCCAGCCAGGCACCTCGAGTCCTGGGATTTCAAACAAAATTATTATATTAAAACTATCTGACCATTAACCAGAAAATATAAATATGCCAACTTCACTCTTCAAAATAGAGTGTGGATTTGGGTCAAATTCCAAGCTATTTCTTCCTTAGTCAGCTAGTCCAAAGTGGTTACGTAGTTTCATCTGTTTGGTTTTTTTGTTTTTTGTTTTTGTCTAAAACAGTTCTCTACGGTCTCCGGGAGGCATCTAAACTATCACCTATTACCTAAACTTCTTGACTGATGTCTGGCAACCCAAATTTTAATCTCTAGTCTCCCCAAAACCAGGCAAGTCAATCACTTCATCTCTCTGGACCTCAATTTTCTCACCCGTTACAGGAGGAGGTTGAACAAAATGAGTGAATCTGTTCAAAGAAAAATATTACGTAAGTAAATAACAGCACAGGTGGTACACAGATATGGTAAAAGTCACAACCACAGTTAATGGGAAAGTTAAAGGGGAAGGAAAAAAGTGTGCTAGGGCAAGGGTGTCTGATCTTTTACTCAGCGGCAAAACCTTTAATTAAATAAAATTTACATGGAAACCTGAGAGCAAAGTGACAAAATGCTGTCTCTGGTCAAAAAGGCAGATGCCCTCCCATTTGACTTACCCCGCCTCCATTATCACCACCATCTACACAAGCATACACACTCATGAGCACAGCCTGAAATCCACTATACTAGAAGATGCTCAAGGTTCTTTCTAGGTCAAAAATCCTTCCTTTCTTCCAAATGATATCTAAGACATTATAGAAAGAGCTCTTCAGAATTGCTAAGCTCGGCGATTTTACGAAGAAAAAGGAGTACCCTGTTATGTTATGAACTGATCATCGTCCCTCAGTGTCTGAAGCGCAAAAACCAAATGGAAGGAAGACTTGACGTCAAGTAAATGGTGGCTTAGATAGGGTGGACCTTACGGACAACACACACAGACACTCAAGATGGCAGACGAGGGTGTCTCCACATTCACCTAGGACGAGGAGGCTGAAGAAAATGGTCATGCCGCTTGACTGTTCCTCCTGCTGAGCCTGCTCCCCCGTTTGCACGGGCAGAATGGGCTTGGCAGGGGTCGGGAGCACCAGTTTCGTAGTGACAACCAAGGTAGTGTGGAGAGTGACATTGAAACCTTCATGAGTTGTATTAGGGAACCTGTTGGACACAAAAAGCAGCAGTATTAGATAAAGGGAAATGGGCCCTGAGTACCAACACATGCGCACGCGCACACACGCAGAAGGGGAATCTGGCAAAGAGGATGATGGATTCACAAGTCTTAGAACCAAACTGATTCTCAGAAAGTTCCTGCCTGCCACAGCAGGAGAGTACCAGTGGCTTCAGGTGCTCTGAACTCAGCCGCTTATGGGACAGAAACAAGGGGGGAATTAGGGCCAGCGTAGAAATAAAATGCTGCCTGCTCTTTGGCATTTAATAAGGGATTCAAACGGAGGCACACTGGACTGTCATCACATTCCAAGATCCAACATTATTTACATGGCGCCTTTGTTTCTCCAGTTTACATTCTTTTCCTTGAATTATAGCCACAAGTTGACGAAGCCACCTGAATTTACCCAACTGTTGATCTGGTTGGAACACCTTACCCCACTTGACAAAATCCTTCTCAGATTTCCAAAGGCTCAAATGTAACGTCCCCTGTAATACGGCATCTGCCCCGTTTCTCAGTGCTCTCCTTGCTCTGGGGTGGGATTGTTAAATAGGGCAATATTCATATAATAATCATTGCAACTGTGATTATAACAGCTAGTGTTTATTGAGTAATGCTTCATGCCAGAGACTAGGTAACATCACAACCTCTCATTTCATAGGCATACCATGCCTGAGATGGGGACTATTACTTTCCCTTTTTTACGCATGAATAACTGAAACTCAGAGAGGCTGCATAACGTGGCCAATATCTCAGCCAGCCGGCGGCAGAATCAAGCTTTGAGACCAAACTTGAAATCACTGGGGCCCTTCCACCTCTTTTGCCTTGCGCTGCTGAGGCCCAGTTCAGTGTCTGCAATAGAGCACACACTGGGTAAATAAGCTGCCAAGATGAAACGACCACCCAGCTGAAGAGACGTATCTGAAAAGATGTCAGGTGAGGGAGTCAGATTTCAACCATGGGGGTTCCTTCTTAATTTCTACCTACCCTTCCACATAGGTAGGGCATCTGTAACATGCAATAGATTGTGCCCGGCACGTGCGGAGACAGACTAAAGAGTGGTCCTTCCCCCAGAAGTACCTGGAGGACACTGGACGCCTCACACATCTCTATCTCATCTCAGCTAGCCCCTCACTCTTTCTATTCCAGCCATCCTGCCTTTCTTTCTGTCCCTAAAAGACACTAAGCCCTTTCTTGCTTCCAGCCATTTGCACTTGCTTGTTCCCTCTCCTATCCCTCCTTCTTGTCTTTAAAGTTTCAGCTGGCATGTCACGTCTTCCTGCAGGGACGCCCGCCCTAACACTTCCATTTCCTTTTAGAGCGCTGAAATCATCTTGCCTATTGATGGTCTATTCCCACTAAAATGTAAACTACCTGAGGGCGGCTCCTGGTCGGCCTCCTTCACTACTATGTGCCCAGGGCCTGGAATAGAGTAAATGGCCAACAGTTAATGAATGAATGAATGAATCTCGGTGGAGGAGACAGAAGAGAAAAATGACCGTTACAATGGAAGAGGCGACTGGCTAAGTAGGGGGGTAGGGGACTTGCTGGAGGAGGCGGCGGAGCTCTCCCCAATATTCAGAAGACCGAAAAATGGGAAAATGAAATCTGGGTTGCGGTTTCGGCCAGACGGCTTTCGAGGCCTGCCCTGGGCTGTCGATTCCCTGCACGAGGATCTGACCTCCAGGAGGCTTAAGGGCCGGGCTGGGCCCAGGCCCATCCCTCCCGCCCTCCTCGCTGGCGCCGGCATGCTTCGTCCTGGCCAACCGGCACAAGGAGCTCCGCCTTTCAGGGCCGGAGGGCGGCCTGAGGCGCTCGCTGTCACACCCGCCGGGGCCCAGCCCTGCCGCCTCCGCCGCCCGGGAAATGCCCACTCACTCCTCTTCCGCCATCTTCTCCCCCATCCTGCGGAGCCTCCAAGACCACCGAGTTCGGAGCCGGGGGCTAGCAGGGACTGCTTTTGCTTCCGGCTTCCGCTGGAGGCGCGGGCTGGCGGAGGAGCGGAGGGCGGGGCCTCGGCCGCGCGAGGGCGGCCCTTCTGTCCCTTCGTCTCTGTGGCCTGAAGGTGGGAGGACCCTGCCAGGGCACTTTTAGGACGCCTGACTGCCCTGCGTCTGGTGACCTTCTGGCCCCATGAAGTTTTGGCCTTTCTTCATCCCAGGGCGGGGACGTTTTGAGGGAAGCTCCTGTGAGGTCGTTGTGACTCACCCTGAGAGCAAGCACTCTCCATCCAGTGTGGAGGACTGCGTTCCGAAAGTTGAGAAGGAAACGTCTAACCGAGGCTGTGCAGAGGGTCCCCAGGGGTACACTTCCCCGATCTGAGCCCCAGTTTTCCTCGCTGTAGAGAGAGGACTAGCCACTTGGGCCTCGCAGAATCGTGCAGTATTCTATCTGTAAACAATTACTGAGTTCTGACTATACGCCTATCATTCAAATAGGTGATGACGATCTGGTCCTGGGTCTTTCATTAATTTGTTCGTGGAGTCGACTGCATGTGCCTAGCGGTGGTCTGTAGGGTTGAGCATATCAGGAAGGAACGAGGCAGGGTTGTAGGGGTAAGAGGGACCCCGTCAGGAGGGGGAAGAGGGCCCTCCTCCTCCTGGTACCTTTGTGTAAGGTCTTTGGATAGGACACCACCTGTGCTGTTGCCACCTCCTTCCAGGTCCAAGACGTCATATCTCATGGCAGCTGTAGTAGCTGCCTGAACCGTAAACTTGTCTCTGGCTCTGCTGTTGTTCCTCACGGCCTTCTGCACCACGGGCTCCAGCGATCCTTGGAAAACATTTTTGAGTTATTTATTTATTTAAACAATCTCTACACCCAACCCCAAGATCAAGAGTTGCCTGCTCCTGGGACTCAGCCAGCCAGACCCTCCCCCCTCCAGTGATCCTTTAAAACTTCAGTCATTTACAGTGGAATGTTACTTGGTGATCATGAAGAAAGAAATCTTGCCATTTGCAACAATGCGGATGGAACTAGGGTGTATTGTGCTCAGCAAAATAAGTCAGGGAAAGACAAATACGTGGTTTCACTCGTATGTGGAATTTAAGAAACCAAACAGATGAACACAGGGGAAGGGAAGGAAGAAAGATAAAAACAGAGAGGGAGGCACACTGTAAGAGACTCTTAAATACAGAGAACAAACTGGGGGTTGCTGAAGGGGAGGTGGGTGGAGGGATGGGCTGAATGGGTGGTGGACATTAAATAGGAGGGCACTTGCTGGGAGGAGCACTGGGTGTTATACGTGAGTGATGAATCACTGAGTCTACTCCTGAAACCAATACTACACGGTATGCTAACTAACTTGAATTTAAAGACAAGGGGTGCCTAGGTGGCTCAGTTGGTTGAGCGTCCAACTTCTCCTCAGGTCACGATCTCACGGTTTGCAGGTTCGAGCCCCACGTCGGGCTCTGTGCTGACAGCTCAACGCCTGCTTTGGCTTCTGTGTCTCCCTCTCTCTCTTCCCCTCTCTCACTCACACTCTCACTATCTCAAAAATAAATAAAACATAAAAATTTTTTTTTAAATAAATTAAAACAAAACAAAACACCTCTAGTCATTGCCCTGCTTAAATTGGAACCTCCACTGGCTTCCAATCTGAGTCAAAGGAAAAAAGAGTTAGAAAACTCACAAGACTCAACCCTGCCCCATTTACCCCTCAGAGGTGGATGGACTCACTCCCTCCTGCACATTTTCTTTTTTTTTTTTTTTCTTTTTTTTTTTTTAAGTTTATTTATTTTTGAGACAGAGAGAGACAGAGCATGAACGGGGGAGGGGCAGAGAGAGAGGGAGACACAGAATCGGAAGCAGGCTCCAGGCTCTGAGCCATCAGCCCAGAGCCCGACGCGGGGCTCAAACTCACGAACCGTGAGATCGTGACCTGAGCCGAAGTCGGACACTCAACCGACTGAGCCACCCAGGCACCCCCCTCCCGCACATTTTCCACTGTGGTCACAATGGCTTCTGTGTGAACTGGGAACACACCAGGTACTTACTGGTGTACTTGCTCAGCCCTTTGTCTAGAATACTCCACTTGTGGGTTGTCCCTTGGATGTCACCTTTTCCCCGTTTTAGGCTTTTTGTTTAATGCTTACCTTCCTTATCCTGACTTCGCTGACCACCCTGTTTAAAACCCAACCCCCCTCTCCTTCCCCGAGTTATTTTTCCCCAAAGCATTTTCCTCCACAAGGATGTAAACTTCCTGAGTGCAGAGGTTTTTGTCTGCTCTGTTGTTTCATCTCCAGAACAGCACCTAGCATACAGTAGGTGCTCAATAATAAAGGATCATCAAATAAATAAAGGAGTGAAGAAGTTAACTCTAGATGTGTTAGGAAACAGAAGGGTTTCAAGAAGAGGAGTGCTCTGACCTGACTTTTATCGGGACAACTTTGCCTGCCTGTGAGGAGTTGGGTGGATGACAGGCCTCTGGCCAGCTAGGAGGCTTTTGCACTAACCAGGGTGAGAGTTGATGGTGGTTTGGATTAAGGTGATGTGCTAGAGATGACAGGAAGGATTGGATTCTGGGTACATATTGAAGGCGGGTTTTGCTGAGGGACTGTGGTGTGTAAAAGAAAGCAGGGAGTCAAGGATGACTTCAAGGTTTTGGTCCTGAAGAACTAGGTAGAGAAGAGAGCTGTCTGGCTTACACCCAAAGTCCCCTGCCACTCCAAAACCTCTTAGGGCTGTTGACAAAGCTGAGAGAATATGCTTAGGACCAGCCAACACCACGATATTCCTTCCAGGGAGAAGATGAGCCTTTTTACCTTTTTTTTTTCTCTCCTTCCTTTCCTTCCTTCTTTTCCTTCCTTCCTTCTCCTTTCTTCCTTCCTCCTCCTCCTCCCTCCTCCTTCCTTCCTCCTCCTCTCCTTCTCCTCTCCTCCTCCTTCCTTCCTTCCTTCCTTCCTTCCTTCCTTCCTTCCTCCTTCCTTCCTTCCTTCTTCTTCTTCTTCTTCTTCTTCTTCAAGGCATTTCTATAACCTGAAGCACAGAGAAGTTAAGCCACTTACCTAAAGTCACACAGCTGGAACTGTTGAGGCTGGGATTCAGGCGCAGAGTCTGTGTTTTTGCCACCACAGACTTGTTATTGCCACACTGCTCTTCCTTGTTGCCCTCTGCTGCCTTAATTTTTCTGGTTCTAAGATGGGGCTAACAGTCTATTTCTCTCCTTTAGCACAGAGCCTGGCAGAGAGGAACTGGCCCATAAAAGATGGAGAGTGGGGTTCTCTCTGAGCCACACTTAGGGCCTGAGAGCTTGAGGCTGTTATTCCTCTTCCAGCCTCAGAAAACCCCACCTGGCTGGAGCCGGGGCCCTGTGACTGGGGGTGCGGAGATCTTTTTGTATTGAGCTGCTAGCTGTGGGCTACTCAGGATGAAAGAGAATTCCTGAATTCTCTGAGGGCTGCCCCATTCTACCTGCTGTTCCACACACTGTCCTTGCCACATCTTGTTGTCAGGGCCACTTTGGGATTTTGTGACCATCCTGGGCCTGCCACCAAGCAGGAGGCCATAAAACACCTGCTCTTAGGCCTGAGGTCAAATCCCAGGCCCTTCTCACCTATTCCTGGGAACTCATCTAAATTTCCCGGTCATTACCCCCAGGAAGGCAAATAAAGCCGTTCAACATGCAGTTCCTAGACTCCTGTGCTGTGCCAGGCTTAAAAGAGGCTGGAACAAGGCATGCAGTCCTGGCTCCCTATCCCAACTGAGGACCCACGGCTCTGTGACCCTGGGACACCACTGCACCCTCAGAACCTCAGGGTCCCATCATGGTTTTTGCCAGAGCCCTTCTTGGGAAGGTTCTTATAGAATTAGAGAGAAAGCTCTTGCCTTAGTTCTCTGTTCTTTCTGTCCTCCCTACCCCCCCAAGCTTCCTCTTTCTTGCCATTCTGGTCTCAGCTTAAAGATCACCTCCTCAGGGAGGACTTCCCTGACCACTCCGTCTAAAGCAGCGGCCAGCAAACTTTTTCTGTCAAGAGCCACACTGTAAATATTTTAGGTTTTGTGGGCATTCAAATCCCTGCTGCTATGAGTCAACTCTGCTGTTGCAGTGGGAAAGAAACCACAGATGATTTAAATATGTGCAGCTTTGTTCCAACAAAACTTTATGGATATCGAAATTTGAATTTCTTGTCATTTTCATAATACTTGTTTTCAACCATTTGAAAATGCGGAAACTATTCTTAGCTCATGAGCCATATGAAAGCAGGTGGCAGGCTGGATTTGCCCCTCCCAGGGTTGCTGACCCCTGATATAAAGTCCTAAACGTCAGTGTTTCTGAGGTACTTATCACTATCAGATATATATATATTTTTGTCCTTCTTCCTTCCTTCTTTTTTTCTTCCTGAGTTGATCATCTTGTTTCCTCTCTTAGGATATAAGCTCCCTGGCAGGAGATTGTCTCTCTCTTCTGTCTTTCTTCCATTCCTTACCTCTTCTAACATTTCTTGAACCCTTACCCTGCAACACAAATTTATCGTCTTTGTGTTCTGTAGGTTAGAAGTGTTGTAGGGCTAAGTTCAACGGGTTGCTAGGGCTGCGTTCCTTCTGGAGGCTGTAGGGGAGAATCTGCTTTTTTGCCTTTTCCAGCTTCTAGAGGCTGCTGGCCCATGGCTTGTGGCCCCTTCCACCGTCTTGATTTTTTTTTTTTTTCTCTTGCACAGTTTCTGTTTCCCCTAGTTATTTTTCCCTATTTGTTTTAGTCTCAGTTTTTCAGTCCAACCACTGCTTTGGTCATCTTCTCTGGCTCTGACTCTCCTTCCTTCTTTCCATTGAGCCCCTCTGGATAATCCAGAATGATCTCCCCATCTCAAGGTCAACTGATTAGCAACCCTAATTCCCCCTTGTCATGTAATATAACATACTGCAGAATCCAGGGGTTAGCGCGTGAGCATCTTTGGGGGGGGGG